AGTCCATGGAGTTATTATTGCTGCTGGCCGCTGCTCCTGCTTCACCAAGTCGGCAAGACCAGCTGACTCTGATCCACAGTCACCAGCAAGACTTCTGAAACCTGTGAGTTGAGTGGACTAGTCTACAGCAAAGGACGGTGATCTGTGGATTCCACATTCCTTTAGAGTTTAGTCATCATCTCACACGTTGTTACAGCTGAAGTTAGAGCTGTCTCACCAGGAGGCAACAAAGCTGGCGGACAATGAGGTCATTTTGGGTTTGTTTAGATGAAGCAGGCAGTCCAGTTGGGTTTTTATTAGGATTTTGGGTAGCCCTACTGTTTAATTACTTACAGTAATTTTCCTCATTATATATTTACAGACAACTTTTGGCACTGGCTACAAGCAGCACTGATTTCTGTAATCCCAGGTGAAAGTCAGGAGTCCCCCGTATCAGTACAAGTTAATGGTCTTGTAAAAACACCTTCTTTACATTAGGCCAAGGAAGAAGGTTGATCCAGATATGGGTTGTTTATTTCTGATTCTCTATTTCATTTTAATTGTCATAAGTGGAGGAATATATTTTGAGAAAAACCCATCATATTTTTTATAATAGTTTACCTACAAGCAAAAATGAAGTATGTGAACAGGTTTCCTAAATGACCTTGGAGAATGATACTAATCTAAAGAATCCATAAGGAGTTGAGATCTGACCTGTTGTTTTTCCTTCTACTAACTTTTAGGTTTGATTTCGTTTTTAATAATGGTTTTATTGTTTACTCTAGCTGTTCCACTCCCGTAACTGTTTGCTTTGAAATTTGAAACCACATATTTTCTTTGGAACTGAAATAAAAATGGGGTCACATGAGTGACCTTTCAGCCACAAACTGCGTAGTCAATCCACTTTCACAAAAATAACATGGGCTGTATCACTTAAGAGTAATGCAATCATTTTAAGACAAAAGATCATTCACTTACCCTAGAACTTGAAATCTAATGATGGTGATTATGAGTGCCAAGTTGTGGACTCTCAGGACAACATTTAATAAAAGCCACATTTACTCAGTAAACTCCTTAGGGCCCAGGTCCATGCCAAGCACTTACAATGTTCACATACCAGCCCTGTGAGCTGAGGAATCAGGATTATCACTATTGCATAAATGAAGAGACTGACGTACACCAAACTTTAGGAACTTACCCAGGGTCACAGAGCTGTAAGTGGCCAACCCAGCGAGTAAGTACATTTGACTCCTGAACCGAATTCTGAGTGAGAAGGGATAACCCAGGTTATGTCCACAGAGCAGTCCTCAGAAGCCAAGATGCAAACACCAATAAACAGGCAAGCAAGCCAAAAACCTGAGGACGCTGTATGGGGCCATTTTATTTTCTGAGCTGGATTCATTCAGGAGTAAACAGAGAGTGTATTCTTTTTTCCATGCCATAAGAATTTTCTCCTCTGGATTCAATTTTCATTCCTTGAATAACATCTCAAGACAGGACTCAACATTTACCATCCTTCTTAAATAATTTAGAGTCCTCAGATCCGTTTTGGGCATGAAGAACTCTGCCCATGGTCAAGATTAAAGCTCCCTCCTTGCATCCAGGTTCAATTGGCTTCTCCCTCTCCCGGCTCCATCCTGAGTGACCTTGGAAAGACCTGCAGAGGAGGAGGCTTAGCCAACCCTTCCTTCCCTCTAGCTCCTCTCCCACTCATTATTAGGTGTCGCTTCTAACTTCTGCAGGGCAGACCTTGTGTGGGTGTGTGACGTGCATGGTTTGGGCGGAGTGTGAAGGGGAAAGTGACTGAAGATTCTTCTCCTCGCCTCTTAGCACTGGTTTCGTGGGCGCGGCATGCACTTCAGATCTGCTTCTTGGTGGGGTGATGGGGGTGTTTGTCCCTTAGTGGGAGGTAACTGTGCTTCTCCCCCAGCTAGTAGCTGCTCACAGCCTTCCCTGCATGCAGGGCTTCAAGTGGGTATTACCCTTGCTGGCTTTCTTTTGCGGGGAGGCGGGGTGTCTTTTGTGGCTAACCCTAGACTACCTTTCCCTGGGTATGTGAAGGCCCAAAAGACCCTCCGTCATCTGGTGCATATAGAAATGCAGCTTCTGCTTCCCGTGTGTTGGTTGAAGAGTCCTGTACCAGCTCTGCTCTTTCACCTCTCAAGCTCGAGTGGCAAGCTGGTGCCCAGTCTCTTCAGTTCCAAGGGACCTCTGTCAGGTTTCAGGGCCCAGGGCAGGGGCTCACCACTGTGTATCCAAGCACTGAGTGTGAAGAACTTTAGATACCCTGGTGCTGTTCTCCTGAGGCAAAGTTGTCCCTATTCCAGGAAACTCGCTGTCTTTGTCCACCTGACATGATGTGAGAAATTTATGGGTAGCAAACTGTACCATGTCCACTTGTCCCTCCAGTTCCAGTGCCACCTGGAGGATATTGCAGTAACATAGTACAAATTGAGTATCACTTGCCCAAAATGCTTGGGACTACAAGTGTTTCATATTTCAGAATTTTCTGGAATATTTGCCTATGTAAAATGAGAGCCCTTAGGGAGGACTGCAGTCTAAACAGCAGATTCATTCGTGTTTCATATATGTCCTATACATGCAGACTGAAGGTAGTTTTATAGACTATTTTTACTGCACCTGTGTTTTGGCTGTGACCTGTTGTATAAGGTCAGGTATAGAATTTTCAAGTCAGGTGGAATTACCTTGACTTGTGACATCGCGTTAGCACTTAAGAAATGTTAGATATTAGAGAATTTTCCGATTCAAGATGCCCAACCTGTTCTCAGTTATGCCCAAACAACTTCTGACACTGATCAGAATGCCCATGCAAGTTTGGTGCCAGTATACAGGTATGCTGTGGCATGCTTTGTGAGCTGTCAGGGTAAGCATTCCTTTTTCCATATCCATAGCCACATAAGCATCAGAAGGTGAGAGTTGGTGCCCCAGGCGTCAAAACACCACTAGTCCCAGCATTTGCTTTCTGTCCTCTACTCATATACACGAAAGGATTGCTGAAAAGCGGAGGGATGTTTTGTCCATCTTGCGGAAAATTAAACTGTCTACCTAAAACAAAATAATAAAAACTCAGGACCAAAGAACTTTTTATTACCATTACTCTGTTACTGAAAGAATAAGCTAAAAAATGTCTAGAATACTGTAATTGAGTTGAAGTACCATTAGGAAAAGTCTGTGGTTTCAACAAATATACAAAGTGATAGTTTTGTTGGCAAGAAAATTATTTTATTTTACTTACAGCTCAGGCCTGATTGCTAATGGCAACACTGAGGTCATAAAGAGAAGATTTAGCCATCAGAATTACAGATGGTGAGGGATTCTAGCATGGAGATAAGAAGGAAACACATCATTCAATAATTTTAAAGTAAAGGTCCTGGAAGGATGGTGGTGTTTTGACTTAATGTTTCCAAATGTTTGGCCCTCTGATTTCTTCTTGTCTGTCCAGTTTTAGAGGGCAGATGCAAGAATTATTGCTATATGCATTTTAGTCTCCTATTTACTTTTCATTTTTCTTATTCTAGTTTATGTTTGCATTCATTACAAATTACTCAGTGTATAAAAGAGATTAATAAAAGTAATTATATGTGCTTGGAAGGGAAGGAAAGGGGAAGCATTGAAAAATATGACACATTTTAATAATTCAAATGGATAAATGAATGACCTCCATGTTGAATGGCATTGCTTCCTTTAACCCACAGAAACAAAGCTTAGTTTGTGAATACACTTTAAACACGCACACACACGTGTGTGTGTGTGTGTGTGTGTGTGTATATATATATATATTTTTTTTTTTTTTTTTTTTGTACCAGGGATCAAACTTGGGACCTTGTGCTTGCAAGGCAGGCAGTGGAACCACTGAGCTAAATCCCCAGACCTAAATATATATTTTTTGTGATAACCACCAGTATTATCTGTTCATGATCTGTATTAAAGGAATATGTTTTATAAAGCCCTGTTGGTTAAAAGTGCCTCAAGGAGGGCTGGGGATTTAGCTCAATGGTTCTGGCGCCTGCCTTGTGCTTGTCCCGAGTCCAATCCCTGGTACAAAAAAAAAAAAAAAAGTGCCTCAAGGAGAGGGAAGGTGGATGTGAGAACATAGCCAGTTTGGTGGAGAACCATAGTTCCATTTTGTGAAAGCCTGGGGTACAAAGAGGGCAGAGAGAGGAGATTATAGTGGCAAGTGTTTACTTCCCACAGGCTACTTCTTACTAGTCCAGATGGGAACCCAGAATCCCCCTCAGTTCAGGGCTCCTCACCCAGCCTGTCTCCCTCCAGGTTTGGCCCAGTGTACCTCACAAACACCTCTTAAAACTGTCTGGCCAGTTGTGGTGGCTAGTAATCCCAGCACTTGGGAGGCCAAAGCAGGAGGATTATGAGTTTGAGGCCAGCCTGGGCTACATGTGGTGAGTTCAAGGCCAGACTGAACTACATAGCAAAACCTTATGTCAGAAAACAAAACTAAACAAAAACCTGTCCATCTTCCCTTCCTCCCAAAGACATGCTTCTGATGAGGATGATGTTGTCAAAGAAAAATGTGTGCTCTTATTTTGACCCAGGAGAGGTGAGTACACTTGTCCTTGGGTATTCACAGCTAGTTTATTCTAGGATGCTTCTCAAATATCAAAATCTGTGGATGCTCATGTCCCATATATAAAATGATGTGGTGTTTGTATGTAACATCCTTTTATATACTAAGTCATCTCTGGGTTATCTGTATGAATGCACATAGTTGATAGACTTCATTGTTGAGAGAATACCAACAAGGTGCAGCACGGAATCACAGCACTGGGAGGCTGAGGGCTGGGGTGGCAGAGGCGGCAGCAGGGTAGCCCTGCACACCACTTCATTCGAGTAGTTTCAGCATAGTGCTTGCCATGTGCCAAATTCATTTTATTTTGGGGAACTTTTTTAAAACAATTTTTAAAATATTTTCCATCTGTATTGGTTGAACCTTTGGGTGTGGAACTGACAGATGAGGAGAGTTGACTGTACTTATCCCCATTTTCCAGATAGGAAGCCTGAAGCACAGGAAGATGAAGTAACTTGCATAAGGCTACTCAGCCCTTACAGGGCAGAGGCAAGATTCAACCCTAAAGTCAGTGCCGTGCAAGATGACACTCACCTGAGCTACTGCCACCTGTCATGGACAGCTCTGACCTATGTGGTCACACACGCTCCCCTCTGTTACTGTCACCACACTGAGGCCAGGGACTTCTTTAAAACAGAAATCTGACCGTATCTCTAATGCTTATTATCTCCAGTACCCTCCTCTGACTTTGAATAAAAGCCACGGTTCCTGTGCCTCCCACCAGCACCCCCAGCATCCTCTCACTGCTGTCCACCCCCCTGCCCCCCATCCCGCCCGGGGCCATCTGTGTCTTTGAAGCTTCTTAAATGCACAGTGAACTCGATGAAAAGCTGCCCTGATGATAAGTCTCCTCACCTCTGTACCCTTGGTAGAGTTTGTGCCCTCCTCACCATTGCTTAATCTTCAAGTCCTTTGTGACAGTCTCATCACATTTATCATCTACATTATTCAATTAATATCCATCCAGTATTTTGACTCTTTTTCTAAATAATTTGTGAATTTTCTACTTCCAAAGTCTTACACACAGTTGCTCACTCAGTAGGTGCTAATCTATTGATAGAAGACAGCCCATAATTCAGTAAGTATTCCTTTTTAAGCCCATTTTCTGTACATAATTTGAAAGTTAGCTTTGTCATGTGAAGCTGATGTGATTCTGCTCCTAAATGAGAAAAACCAAGAATGTAAATATGAAAGGGATCCCTAGTCACATTGGAATTTTATGTCTAAAGTTGGTAAGCACAAATACTGTGACCAAAAGTTATAAAAAATGATGTCTCAGAGGACAGTTTTACATGTATTGTAAAAGTGTTGTGAGCTGACACATTCTCAGACTAAAAGAATTAGGCCGGGGATGTAGCTCAGTGGTGCACTGCCTGCCTGGCAAGCAAGAGGCCCTGTATTTGATTCCTGGTACCAAAAAAGAAAACAGTTAAAAAAAAAAAAAAGGGAAAAAAGAATCAATTCTTCTAGCATCGCATTACCTTCAAAGGTATATTGCTTCTTTTTACTATTCACCCCCAAAGAATGTCGGAGTTAGACATTTCCCAGTTTACCAGATCCAAAACATCTGTTTTTGTACATAAGAAAACCAGGATACTGAAATGTTAGGTGACTTCAGATTGAAGTAGTCAGGCTTGCTCTACCCCCATTCTCTGTCATGACACACAGAAGAGATGATCTTTTTCATATACTTAGAAATTCAGGTGGGTGTGTTCAGTTCCCACTGACTTGGCTGCAGCTCCAGTGGCTTTCTGAACTCCTTCAAACTTACAGACTAATTTTCTTTTTACGTACCAGAAGCACCATGTAAAGAAGTAACAGACTAAACCTGGTCCACAGTGTTTTATGGCACTGAAGTTTAAAATCAGGAGCTACGTGAGGTACATTCTGCACTATAGAGCTCTGGATTTACTTCTGAGCAACAGTGAGCACCATCTCCATGGCAGTGCTTAGACGGGAGCCCTTCACCCAGGCCAGGAAAGACACACTCATCATCTTCCTGACCTCACAGGCACATCGTGGCATGCCTTTTCTAGATTACAGGAACTTGGGCTTTAGTATTTTTGCTAATAGATTAGATGCATGGAGAATCATTTTCCATCCCTGACCACTCTAGTCTTGCAAATTTTTCCCAGTGTCATACATCAGCTGCAGGTTCTGGTCTTTACATAACCACCCCTGTGAGCAGCTGGCAAAATCAGAGATTTGAAAATTAGAAAGATTAAGGGCACTTTGGTTTTTAAAACTTTTGGTGCCTAAAGAGCCCTGGATTCTTTGCTCAGTTAAGACACATATAAACTGCCCAATCCCCTCTGTGCTTTTAGGTTCTTAGAGGGCACTCTCCAGTCCAGGCATGGGCTTCCTCTTCCTCCCTAATGTTACACAAAGGGAGCAGCATCACTTGTAATCTACTCAGAAATGCAGAATTTGAGGCTTCTCTTAAATCTACTGAGCCAGACTTTGTCTTTTCAGAAGATCCCCAGCCATGTGCCAGCATGTTAAAGTTTGAGACCATTAGAGTGAGTAGTGAAAGATATCCCTTCTTCTTGTTCTTGTGTCCTCTATTAACTAGCTCGCTTAGTTGATGAAGCCCTCTCATTGAGACTAGGACTCCTCCCATGTGACATGACTCCCTCCTGCCCCACATCACCCCCAGCTGGACTGCTTTTGAATTCACATCTGCCCTGATACAGCAAGCCATTCTGTACCTTGTCTCTACCAGATTTCATTACTGCAATCCTTTTTTTCCTTTCATGAAATTTTCAAATGGACATTACCTGAAGTAGAAGATAGCCAACGTGGTTTATGAGTAGAAGGTTCTCCCTCCCTCAGGCTTGTGTTCTGCATCCTAAGCCATTAAGTCAGGAGCCACGCAGGGCTGTATAGAGGCTGGAGGTTCAGCTCAGTGCTAGTGTGTGTGCCTAGTATGCACAAGCCAGGAGTTTATCCCCAGCACTACCGGGAAAAACCTTAAGAGATCAAAATAAAATTTTGTTGTTGTTGTTTGCATTGCTATAGTAAAATTATTAGGGGAATGGGAAGTGACAGCAGAAGAAAGAGAAGGTTTGGGAACAAAAAGGAAATGAAGTGTGAAGTGGTTGCAAATAATTGCTATTTTTAATGTAATCCTTTCACACTAGTTTTATATGTAGTAATTACTTCCTGGCTTGGAGGGTACAGGAGAATTTAGAGGAGCTATCCCCAGGGTGTCAGTCTCATGAATAAAGAAAGCAATGTGAGAAGGGGTTTTCTGGGGAATGCTTTGAGAAGACCGACTGGTATTCCTCAGTCTTGTGGATTGAGAATAATGAGTTTTATTTAGTTTTGTGAGGGACACCAAAACCCACTGCAACCTGCAGACAGGTATGCCTGAAAGCTGGACTGGTACCACTGACATGTTGGGCCTCTGACCCCAGTATGACAATTCTGGAAGAGAAGAGGGTGAGAAGAAAAGCATAGGCCAGCACTTTTACGGATATTACCTTATAACTATAGCAGCTTATTATCCAAAGAGCATTTCCCTAAGAATAGGAAAAGCAGGTGCCATAGAAAAGTTCAGCCATTTACCAATAATCCATTGTGCCATTTTGAAACTGGAAGTAACTCCCTCATCTTAGCTACTTAGAGCCAAATGGTTTTAATGAAAGGGTTTATGGGAATCTTGTCCAACTAGTGATGCCCCAGGATACAAGCTCTGTCTCCTGCTACTCACTGGGCCATCTTTGCCTGCGCTGGAGGTTGGCTCTGGTTCAAAGCACAAAACTGATAGGTACAGTTTTCTGTCATGTCTTTCACTCTGCCCTTGAATCACCTGTCACTGTCCCCTCCATACAGGCACTTTGGAAACTGTTGAAGTAATCAGTGGTGATGGTACTACTGTAGGGGTGGAAAAGGGTGCTGATCCCTTCGCTCCTCATCATATAGAGGCATGACTAACACTCCTATAATAGTAGGTTAACAAGGAAAAAGCCTAACCAATTGACTTAATCATAGTTTTACATGACATGGGAGCCTTCAGATTGAAGATCCAAAGACCCAGGGCAAACTTCCCATGTGTATGCTTAGATTCTCTGAAGCATGGACAGATACACAGAAATTCGATTAGACAAAAAGGGTCTGGCCTAATGGTTGTAAACAGGGGGAAACCCAACAAGACCTGTCTGTTCTGATTCTTCTTGGCCTGTGTAATACTCCTTCCTTCTGGATATAAGGCAGGACCCTTTCTGGAATGAGGATCTTATGACCTACAATCAAGCAAGGTAGATGAAAGCATTTCTTTATGGCCAACTCTTACCCAGAAAGATGAGAAGATTAGAATAAGAGGTCAAGGTTTATGGCTGCTTTAGGGAAAAGAATTTGATTTCTGTGAACTGTTTGGGGAGGGGAATTCTAGTTTCTATGGTTTACCTTGGAAAGTGGAAGGTAAAAGAAGATCCAGGGGAAATTTGCTGCTGAGACCTTCGATTTGGGGTATCATTTTCTGAGCCTCTACATGACCTCCTTCTTAGAAGCATGAGCCCCAAGAGGGAACTGGGGTCATCTATCCATTGAGGTAGACCCAGGGTGGTAAATAAGCAGACACAAACTCTGCAAAGGAATTGGGAGTGGCCCTCTTGCCATTTCATCCAGAATATACACTCAGAGAAACAATCTCATTTAATCTTCATGGGAGGAGATAGTTTTCTTAAACTAAATTGAGGTATCAAAGTAGAACTGCATGATTAAAGGAAATGATCATGTAATTGACTTGGGGTTTCTCAAGTTTTGCATAGGAATGTATTTTTATTAGCAGAAAACCCTTTTCACGTTACCAAAATTGACTCTGACAAAATGTGATGGATTGTATTTAGAGGTGAAAAATTTCAGAAGATTATATAAAGAAAAATATAAGCCTTTTTTCATCTCTATCTTCATTTTCTTACTGATAGTTTTATAGAAATATCACCTTATGAATGCTGTAAATTAGCTACTTTGGATGTTAATTAGATACATTGCTCTCTTATAACCAAAGATACTGATAAGGTCATTCATTAACCAGTTGCTTTGGAATGTGGATGGGTTGATAAATGGTCACTGCCCCTATAGCAGTGAAAATGAGAGTTGTTGTTCTGGGGATACGGGTTACTTTATATTGTGTATTGATAAATCTCGAATCGTAGTGGTTTTTGTTTGGTTGGTTTTGGTTTTAGCAGTCCAATTTTTGGAAAGCCATGTTAAGTCCCATGAATACTTAAGTCTTACACAGATTCTGTATTTCATAAACTAGCATATGAATGGCATTAAGGTTTTGCTCCTAGTACTCTAGGAAACTTGAGAATACATGTACCACAAAGAAATTTTTGATATCTGCTCATTAAGTGTGAGAAATTATGAAGCCTGTATAATCAGATCACGTATTCACATGGCTCACCTGAAAGTATTCCTAGTTTTCTTACTACCAAAGAGTAAGCTAACATGTAATGAAATGAATTTCATATACGTTCTTGGTTTTCAGAATGTTTTTACCTGTATTGGTTGGCAGAAGTAAGATGACTGAAACACATTGCCTTGTCCCTAAACTTTGTTCTGTTCCCTGCCAATTCCAACTCTTACCTCTACTTCCAGTTTTTGAAGCACTGGGAAGTGATTGTTTCAAGTGATACTGACAGACTGGTCATAAGGAGTCACCAGTCTTGCTTATGGCGAAAGGGACAGCCTGACATTAGATATCACCCACGGTCGGTCGCAGCCTGGAGCCCTTAAGTGATTTCTAAGAAGGCTGCTAACATCGAACGCGCTGGGGAACAGAACGGGGCTTGGCTGAGCCCTGCTCTCTCCTCCTTTCGCTAGCATTTCCTGGGTTTCCGCTTAAAGCGGTGCCAACTGGGCGTGGTCAGGAGGCGGTTCTCACCAATAGGGAGGCAGGCAGCTGGAAAGAGTTCGTGCGTGCTTGGGAAACCTCAGCCCCTTCTCTCTCGCAGATCCCCGCATCTGGGGAAGCCCGGGGATCCGCTCTGGCTGGGGTGCGAATTCTAGGTCGCCCCTTTCGCCCGCGGTTAACCGAGAATAGCCTCGGCTCGGCGGCACAGGGCGGAGGCAGGGCGGGCGGAGGCGCCGGCGCTGTGGGTTGCTCGGTTGCTGGAGCCCTGATGTCACTCGCCCCTCCTAACCCGCCCTTGGTTGTTTTGTGTTTCAGCTCTGCCTGCAGTTGAACACAAAGACCTGGAGACTCCCACCGCCTTCAGGGAGAAGAAAGGAGACAGAGAAGCCGATTAAAAGGAACTTGTGGCTTGTGGCCTCTTTGTGCAGGGCCGCCTGGAAGGAAAGAAAAGTGCATTAAAGCCAGCGTGGCGGTAAAAGCTGTGAGATGAGGCACTGCTGCTCCTTCTGCTAACACCGATTCCAGGATCCCTCGCTGCCCTTTGTGCTTCATGTACATGTGTCTATTCAGGCCGGCGGGAGGCGCCCAGAAGAGCATCCACCACGGCTGCCGGGGAAAGACCGCCGACCATGCCCACGGAGACGCTACAGACAGGTAGCATGGTGAAGCCGGTCAGCCCCGCGGGCACCTTCACATCGGCCGTGCCCCTGCGCATCCTGAACAAAGGGCCAGACTACTTCCGCAGGCAGGCTGAACCCAACCCCAAAAGACTCAGCGCCGTGGAGAGGCTGGAGGCCGACAAGGCCAAATACGTCAAGAGCCAGGAGGTGATCAACGCCAAGCAGGAGCCAGTGAAGCCCGCAGTGCTGGCCAAGCCCCCCGTGTGCCCAGGCGCCAAGCGCGCCCTGGGTAGCCCCACACTCAAGGTGTTCGGCAACCATGCCAAGACCGAGAGTGGTGTGCAGCGGGAGAACCTCAAGCTCGAGATTCTGAAGAACATCATCAATAGCTCAGAGGGCTCCAGTTCTGGGTCTGGTCACAAGCACGGCTCACGAAACTGGCCTCCACACAGGTCCGATGCCACCGACCTGCACCGCCACTCCTTCGCCGAGTCCCTGAAGGTGTACCCCACGCCTGGCCGCCGCAGCCCCCAGGAAAGCAGCTCCCACGTGAGCAGGAGGCTGCTGGATCAGTCAGCTGATTCCTTCCTCCACGTCTCGCACAGCTCCTCGGACATCCGAAAAGTGACCAGCGTGAAGACCCTCAAAGCAATCCCCTGCAGTAGCTCCGCGCCACCGCTGCCTCCCAAGCCCAAGGTCTCCGCCATGAAGTCTCCGGAAGCCGACCCGGTGGAACCAGCCTGTGGCGTCAGCCGGAGGCCTTCCCTCCAGCGGTCTAAGTCAGACTTGAGTGACAGGTATTTCCGAGTGGACGCAGATGTGGAGAGGTTCTTCAACTACTGTGGCCTGGATCCAGAAGAGCTGGAAAACCTTGGCATGGAAAATTTTGCAAGGGCTAATTCTGACATCATATCCCTCAACTTTCGCAGCGCAAGCATGATCAGCTCAGACTGTGAACAGTCTCAGGACAGTAACAGTGACCTTAGAAATGATGACAGTGCCAATGACCGGGTGCCATATGGCATTTCTGCCATTGAAAGAAATGCTAGGATCATCAAGTGGTTATATAGCATCAAACAAGCTAGAGAGTCACAGAAGGTGTCCCATGTGTAAGAGACACAGTGCGTGCAAAGGAGGGAGGGGCGGGTCTGTCTGTGCATATGCAGTTGTAAAGGTTGTGAGGTCTCCTTGAAGTATTGTGAGCTGCTCCACTCTTTGTGTTGCTTGTTGTGCACTGTTTTCAAGTTGCATGCCTGTCAACATGGCGACTGGCCTGGGTTCCTCATCACCACCACTGCAGAGCCGGGCTGAACACTCATCTGCCACCTTTCAGGCCAGAATTAATTAGGGCTTTGCTCTTAAGCAGAACTGTTTACACAGAAAATGATATACGATTTCTTCAATATTTATGTGGTTCTTGTGTTTTTATATCCCATGCTATTGTGTCTTAATTAAAAGTTTTGTCAACTGGCCTTTAAGTTGAGAGCAGAATCTTTTTGAAATAAAACCGGTTTGCCTACTTGTGAGACCATAACAGTGGGGAAGGGGGGATCCGCCACCAGATAGTGACTGACCAAGTGTAGAACCTATCTGGATTTTCTGTGGGATAAAGGGGTGAGGCTAATGTTAGTTGTTGACATGTTGAAATTTCTCTTGCCATTAATGGAGCAATCATTGGGGCAACAACACTGCACTTTGTGTCCAGTACTGTTGATGGTTCTGTGTAATGCTGATTCCAAGGAAAGACAATCAGATACAACTGAGGCTGATTAAATCTAGGAGTCTAGATATTTGGGGGTTGTGTTGATGTTCAGATCAGGATAATTGAAAAATTTCTACTAGTATTAATCTTTGGGCAGAAGTGGACACCCAAAAGCTGAAACTGAATACCTTTTTATTTTTCTTTGAAAAATGTTTCATGTTGTGTGTTTGTTTGTTTGTTTGTTTGTTTTTGTCCTTCTGGTTTTATTGTTTTGGTTTTGGTCAAGAACTACTAATCATGCTGTTTCTCTTTCTTTGTTGTGGTTTTATTTGGGGGAGGCAGTGGGGCCTAACGTACGTTTCAGCTGTGTGAAGACATGAACAAAAACAAATACTGGCCATATCAGCCCAGAGCTAGCTATTCAAAAGGGAGGGATACGTTTGGTACCTGAATCATCGAAGCGGTGTGATTCTGTTGACCTGCATGTTATTCTCTTAAGCTGTGGCTCTTTGTTACACTTCTAGGAACTGTAAAACACCACACTCTGCAGCTCTTGTACCCTCTGGTGGCTAGCCCTGCCTATCACCTTGTCTTCTTTTTGCCCAGTAACTTGTTCTCCAGGTGGTTTCCGTAGCTCCCAGTGAGCTGAGGGTGCCATGCAGTGGTCTGATTCCTTGCTCTTGTCATGCTCAGAAGTTCTCTGTAGCACCACAGTGGACTTTGTCAACTAATTGGGAACTTTTTATGGTGTAAATGCTGTAAGACTTTGTACATACTTCAGTTGTTATTAAATCTTTAAGAAAAAAAGAAACAATTATGCTAATAAATAGCTCTGAAGCTGGCACTAGCAGTGGTGGTTTCTTTGTTCTTTATCACCCTTTGTGAATGTTTAACTGAGGAGTCTAGGCCAGAAGCACACTCTTGAAGAAACATTACTTCATTAAGTTGTTTTTCATCATGTCTGTTATTCTGAACAGCAGTATTCTTAGTTCTAGGGGTAGCAGTGTGCTTTTGGTAAAATAGTTACATCAAGGTTCCTAAAATATGCTGCTGCCTCTCCTAAGTTCACACCGCTTTTATTTTTGTCTTTCCTTAAACCTAAGGATTTTTCACATCTTCCACAAGACTCTTCAGTTGTAAATATTTATGAGTTTTCACCATGGAGGCATATCTTTGAATAGCTAGTCCTGTTTTCCTTTGTACAAGGCCAGCATTAGGACCATTATGTACCATGTCACTGGTTGAATGATTACCTTTGTCAGGTATCTGGGTTAGCATTGGACTGCTATGGTGAACAACAGTTTCTGCCTCAAGAAAATCTTAGATTTTCCCATTTATTTTGAGAGAAACGTCACTCTTCTTAATGGATGTGCCCTATGATATTATTTGGATCTTGAGTATTCAGCGAGTGTTTATTAAATCAAATTATTTGAAGATGACCATCTCTCCTACCGTTCCACATGGTATGTAAATGTAAAAAAAGCATCATTTCAAATGTAATTTTTAGAAACAATGGTAATGATTCCCAAGCTACTGTTGATAAAACATTTTTCTTCTGAAAAGAAAATTTGGTTCTTTGACTTTTTCTACTGGTTTTAAATTCTTGCTGATTCTTTATTAATGTTCAGTCTAACTAGAACACCAGTTTGCAGAAGAAACATTTTGGAATATAGCTATGAATGGTGATGATATAGTGCATTCAACATTAGGGAATGAAAATAAGTTGTATGAAATCCAAACATCAGCCACAAAAAAAAAAGTTTTCTTCTCTCACCATTTATGTAGAAAGATGGCTTTTAAAACATACATGGCTTAGCATTTACATGTAGGTTTCTTTCTGGAGCTGTTGAAATACTTAAAGTGATGTTGTTATATTCCTAAGGAAATCATTTCCAGGGAGATGAAAACTTCTTAGCTAATTTAGTACCACTCCTTGTGCTAATTTAGTCATAAACTGTGTTTGAATCATACAGTATTTCAGTATTTATCTGTTACCTGTGTTCAGACACGAGTATAAATCACCCTGCTTTAATTCTCTTTAATCCCTGTGGCTTTATTTGTACAATGGAGAAATGTGAGGCTTTTGGTTCCTATGGAAGGTGAAAGCTTATTTTGGAAGGGGGTTCATGAAGTTAAAATTTCTATAAAGGACTATTTCAAATGTTTCATATTAAATCTAATTGGAGACATTTCTTAATTTTGAAGTAGTCTGCAAAGTACTCATTCTAATTCATGCAAGTGTGTAGACTCACATGTACAAGATGGTAGTGGTAGTATGGCCATAGTGTTGTGTAGCTCACATTTTCTTACAGTCCGTGGGGAATCATGGTTGCACTAGATTGCTCTGAAACCAGCTATTCTTTCTGAAAACCAGCAAACCTTAAGAGAGCCCTTCTGTGCCCACCCCTCTGTCACTGCCTTAGTTCAGGCTCTTATCATCTCTTACTTAGACTTCTGTTCCTAGGCCTTTCTAAGTGGAAGCCCTCACACTCTTTTTGACCAGTCTGCCTCATGCCACGGATAATTAACTCTGATCCTGTCACGCCCCTGTGTCGAAGACATCCTCTGACTTGAATAGGTTGCTGACAGGATAAATCCTAACTTAACAGAACTAGAGTGTGGGGCATCTTCTCAGACCTTAGTCATCTAGCCAGGCTCCACCAAAAGGGAAGTTTCCATCAGGAAGGCTTTATCCTGCATTTATGATTTATTTACCCTGTATCACAAATTTCCCCCAAAATTCAGTAACTTAAAACAATAGACATTAATTATCTCAGTGTCTGTGGGTCAAGAACCTTGGAGGGCCTTAACTGAATGGTTCTCAGTGCAGTGTCTCATGAGGCTACCAACAAGATGGTAGACAGGGCTGCACAGACTCCACAAAGCAGAGGACACCTTCCAAAGTGGCTATGCCTAAGGGTCCTTTCAGTATGGTATCTGGCTTCTCCCAGAGGGAATGACCAGAGAGAGCAAGCCAAGAAAAAAGCCACAGTGGCATTTTCAATCCAGTGTCCTCAGTCACACACCTCTGTTACATTCAATCCATTAGAAATGGATTACTAAGTGGAATTTACACACAGGGTAGGAGGACCCATATTTTAAAGGGAGATACATCAAAGAATTTGTGGACATTTTCAAACCACTACAGTGACTGAGGTTGGGTAACTCATCATACTGTGAGGAATACTTGCTCCTCCTTCCTCGACCTCAGAAACACTTGCTTTTTCAAGACTCTATGCAACTGTCCACCAGTGAAATGTTTTTGAGTTTCTTTGTTGCTTTTTCTCATCCTCTTGTAATTTTTGTCATGGCCATGGACTCAGCCTTTACTAGTCTAAATGATTCCTTTGTGTTAATCTTTAAACAGGGAACTTTCCTCAAAATATTTTATTCCTTTGAGAAAAAACAAAACAAAAACTGTCCTAAGAAACATGCATATCTCCAACGACTCTGATGTGAACCACAGTCCCAGGATTGGGTAGCTTGCCACACAGTAGCCCAGAGTATATAGGAATATGTAACAGATGCCTAATGAGTGTTTGCTGAGAATAGTGTTTACTTTGGGGGCGGGGAGTGTTGTTTATCTTCAGGTTGAGTCTCTCTTATCGGAAATGCTTGGGACCAGAAATGTTCCAAGTTTCAGAGATTTTTCAAATTTGAAAATATTTGTATAGACTTTACTTAATGAACTCAAGAAACCCAAAAATCTGAAATCTGAAATGCTCCAAAATTTGAAACTTCTTTGGACATCACGTTGGTTTTGAATTATGGAGCATTGCACATTTTTGGATCAGGGTTACTCAGCCTTCACCATATTTAAATCCTGTGCTAAGCTATGAATCTTACAATAGTGACCCCAGAGAGCTAGTTTCTGCCCCGTATTAGAGATGAAGAACCTTAGTTCCCCGGAAATTCAGCCTCTTAGCCGAGCTCTCAGAGGAGGTAAGTGTTGGTCTGGAACTTGAACTCGAGCCTGCGTTTCCAGCTCTGCCTTTCCTGTAGCCTTGTTGAAGATGAGAGACAGAGTGTGTTGTGCTTAAAAACCGAAAAGCAGAAGGGCTTTACATTCATCTTGATACTTATCCACCCCCAGTACATAAACATGTCTCAAATACACAAGATTTTAACAATTTCATCCTCACCTAAGTAGTAGCCCATAAATTTAGAAAAAGACTTGAGCTGCTACGTTATGAATAACATACAGCCCACTGAATTGAGAGAAACAAAGCTCTGGGATTTGTGTTCTTCCTATTTTTAACATGACATATTTTACAGTACTATAGAGTCCTGTCTTTGGGGGACCAAGGATGTTTAGACGGGTAAACAACAGAGATACATGTGTGGCCACAATTCAACAATCAAGCATATTTTGACTATTTTAAAGTGTCAGCATCACTCTGTCCGCCCACACTGAATGGTGCATGTGGTGTTCTGCCCAGCAGCTACATCGGAGAAGGGAGGATTCAGGAGGCCAAGGGTGCTCCATTTAGAATTGAATAGATTCTTAGTTCATTCACAAAAGAAGACTGATCTCACTACCAAACTGAAAATGTCAAACCTGACTCACCTACTCGGCTGCCCCAAAATATTTAGCAGGACTGTTGGTTTCTGCAGCTCTGAGAACAAGCTGCACTGTGAAGGACCTTTTGCTTAATGGCTGCAAATGTTCCTCCACACAAGTCACCTTCAGAAGGGTTTCTCTTCTGGGTTCTGGTTGCTCCCCCTTGCTTTAGCAGAAACCCAGAAGAGGGAAAAGCTACAGGCACATGGGCTCTGCAGATGTGGAAGCTTGCCTTCAGTATCTGAGCCCATCTGCCTGAAAGGTGGCCCCCTCTCCCTCACCTGTGAAAGGGACGGAGAGCCATCTGATGTGTTTGTTCCCTTGACCTTTGTGAGAGCACTGAAAACTGGTTTGGAGTATCAGAATGCTATAGGACGAATATGAAAAATCTGGATTCATATTGCAGAAAGTAGGAGGGCAGATGAGCCCTGACAGGGACCAAACATGAAATTGAGTGGCATTTTACACGCTAGTTATCCTAAAGACTTTTAGCTGGGGAAGGAAACGAAGACTATAAAAGGACTCTTCTAGAATGGGAGAATCCTCCAAAAAGTAAACTTAGTAACCTTTCAGGTTGACAGAACTGACAAAATGGAATGTGACCAGGCAGGCACCAAGTCACAGCCTTTTGAAGGTAAAAGTGACAATTTTCATTAGCTGAACATTCTGTTCATCCCGCATTTATGGAACAGCTATCAGCAAGTCTTAGATGCTGTGCTAAGCCCCTTTTCACATCTCATTTTCTCAAAAGAACTTTAGAAGTAAATTAGAATCCATTCTATTAATGAGGAATCTGTGGATTAAGCTACTCTCAAAGGCACATATCCAATAAGTAGAAAAAGTGAAACATATACCCAAGTTAAAAAACATCCTATGACATATTCTATACATAGGAAAATGAACTTTTAACATCTTGTATTGCTTCTTTACAATAAGTTACATTGCAGAGTGTTTCTCAAAGGTTTAAAACACTATTGAATATACTAGTTTGTGATCTTCCATAAAATGAGTGTCTTTACTCATCATATTTGATCACATTAGGACTAAAATTCCTGGGTCTTTCTGGGAGGGACTTTAGTGGTCAACTGTCCCTCTCCTGCTAAGAGAACATAACAGATCCAAAGAAATGAGGTGATGGAGTTCACCCTGAGCTGGAGAGTAGCTGGGCTGGTAGGTGGGACTGGAACAGAGGGAACCCTGCTGTTCTGACTTCACAAAGGAGCCAGGATGGGGAACAGAGGAACTACACAAGGCTTAAAATTCCATCATGCAGAAATAGAAGCAAC